TCTCCAGACTGACAGTGGCCTTTATTTCTCTAAAGCAAACAACTGAGTATTTAGTATATATTGGTGAGAATTATCTTAATCAAATGCAAAATAAGTTGTTCTTTCTGTATGGAAACATTGCTTATCTGATTTGTAATTTCAAAATAGAAAAACACAAAAATAATATAGTAGCTACTAATTAATTTAATTAACTTACAAGGGAAAATCTGTAAGAATACTACGTTTAATTACACCGTTTTTTCCAATGGCTATCAGTTAAGAATTAAAAGTAACAACTACCAGGTATTTGACAGGAGGGAGGGGAGCAATTGTCTGTCTTCCAGTCCTAATTTCTAACAGCAAATTTTTGATTATCTCCTTTAGTCAGTTATTAATCTTGCACAGGATGGTAAATACCACTATATGCTTACCAGGTCTCAAATGTGGTAAGCTAATGCGAGTCAGTAGTATACAAAAAAAGAAGTACTCATTACCATTCTCACACTGGCAATATATTCTTAGAGGAGAAAAAGAATAATCCATTAATAACGCCTGCCAGCTGTCCTAGAGAAAAGGTTACAGAGGCAAGGAAGTCATTACTTTAGGCTTCTAAGAGTATTTTAATTAATTCAGCAGAATGACTGTTAAAACCAAAGCATAAAACAAAAAAACCCAAAATCTCAGGATCACAATCTTGCTTCAACCTGAGGTCTTGCTCCTTTCCAAGGATTATGCATTTCTAATAGGTAACTACAGGTGGCAGCAACTGTTTATTCTTACAGGTCCAGAGTTAATCTTTGAAGAGCTTCAAATGCTGTATCCCAAGGTTCTATCCAGAAATAGAGTCAAATTCATCTTCAGTGTCAGGCTAATTCTATGTCAATTAAGTTGTTCTAATGAACACAACTTGTAGATGACAAAATTTCTGCACACCACTCATCTCCAGCTTTGTTTTTTACTTTACTGATGTAAAAGCAATACAACCTGATTAACTTGGCCACTGAATGACAATTAACATAACAGAGAGATACTACAAATTAAAACATACTCCACTATCAGAACCTGTATGTTAGAAAGATACAAAAGTGGAAAATATTTCCTACCTCAGTTAAAAAACCCTCTACTCCCAAATGCTTGCCCTTCCGTCTCTCTCCAAGGTAACATCCAGAATGCACGTAAGCTATGGAGAGGGCTCTTCTAAATTCTAAATAAAAGAAACTCGAAATATTTATCACAAGATACTAGTGGGAGGAATCTTGTTACGGTCTTCCTAAATTTGAATTTGTTCTTTCTTCTCAGAATTAGCACCCACACCTTTAATCAGTTCTCATTATTGCTCTAATTACTGATGTCATTAATCAAGTTACAGAAAACGGTCTAGTCTATTTAACTCTACAGACTATATCCTTAAATGATACTCGAATGAAAATAAAGCAAAAAATTATTCTGAAGGAAAAAGAATCAGGGACAGGGCTCCAGCCCTTAGTGCTAAGTGTGTTGTGTGCGTTTGGGAAAAGGTAAAAGAAGAAAGGCAACGAAGAGGGTCTACAGTTCCACAGGGACACTAGTATTTACTTACAGCTAAGCTCCTAAGCACTTCCTGCAGAAACAGGAACAGCATGAATTTCACTTTCTTCACTCCTATCCTTTAGGAAGTAATAAGGCTCAATAAGATAAGTAAGCTTGTAAACAAACCCTTTAAGTTCTTTCATCTTCAATTCCACATGGGAGGAAGTGTTCTTTGGTGGTTTGGGGTTTTTTTGTTTTGAAAATATGCATTAACTACAAGATACACATTACATATATGATGAACGTATCTATATATAATTACATATACAAGCATGTGAATATAAGCATATATATATTCTCATAATGTATTTTAAAAAAATACTTGTAGCATATTAGAAGATAAACTGACTAACCTTACAAAAAAACTTTTCACATCCTCCAGAAAGATCAGAAGAGTATCACTTAAAACATAAATGCTACCTTGGTAGAGAAGATGAAGTGACAGGCTTCATCTGAAATTTGACCGCACTAAGGTTTAAGAATGATCTTAATATACTACCTTGGCTAATTAGCAAAACACCCCAACAAATTCTGAACTGAACTTAATTAATCTCAAGCTATATCCTCAGGTTTATGTTCTTTGGTTTGCTTGGATACAGTTGGACCTGACTTTTTCCAGTCAGGATGAATTTGAGATCAACAACACATTTCACTACTTTCCACAAGAAAACTTCAATACTGAAAACTGAAGGTTTCAGACTAAATGGGTTTTGATACACAGCAGGCCCATCCCTTGGCTTCAAACAAGGACTAGCAGAACTGCAAGTATCTTACCCCAGTGTCTGACCCTCCCAACTACCAACTTGCAGAACAATTTCTGAAGTCACTGAATAGTGCTGCTTCTGGTCACTTAATTAGGCCATTTGCCTCAAAGTAACAGACCAACTAACATAACCCAGTGACTGAATTAACTTCACAGTATTGCACATTACCAAGGACACCTGACTTTAACTGGGAGATATTTCAAAGCTGCTATGACAATTGTTTATGCAAAAGTTCTTGATGATGATGGAAAGATTAATGAAGTATATTCCCATGTATACTAGAACATTAGGAAAAATGCTAACTAGACCAGAAAATTTTTTCTAAAAGTCAAAAAAATTTAGTTTGAAAAACTAATTTAAAAATAACAGCATGAGTGCTAGAACAATACTTTTGGAACTGAATAAGAATTTATCTGTACACACTAATAAAACTTGTAATTATAGTATCGATATGGTATTTCTGTAGAAAACTTGGTATTGCATTAAAAATACCAATCTGAATAATGAAAGGAATAGCAGACATTTAAACAGACTATTGCACCTTATGTATTACAAGACAGTTTCCAATAGTATGATTGCATTGATGTTTATTGATATTGGTTATTTGCTAATGAGGACTTAAAATTTTTGCTAGATTTTCCATTGCTCAGTGAGGCTGGCACACAGAAAGTCGTTGGAATTTAGGGTGAACTATTACTTGGTTTACAGTTATTATAGTTTTTGTCAAATTTAAACTTATACACAGGGAGCCTGTAACCCAGTATGAGCAAAAAGTTGACAGCAAGAAGAACAGCAGCAGCACTTATCCATGAGGAGATTTATCAGTCCCTGGCCCTGTACCATGTCCATAGCCTGTACCATGTGTGTACACACACAGACTGCATCTGTGCACAGTCAGAATGACAGGTAAGGAATACAGAAACAGTCACCATCTGGTACCAGAGGATAGTTGAATAAGCCCATTTTAGCTAAAAAGTGGTAACAGAGAGAATGTGAGTATGCTTCATGGGACATGGTAGGACCCAGTGTGTGTTTTAAAAAAGTAGAAATCAAGCAAAAGTTTATGAACCTCCATGGCAACATTCCAACATTTCCCCCCTTCCCCCCCAGTA